TTTAAGAATTGTAAATTCATACTTATCATTCCATTTATTGAATAAGAGGTCATTTTAAAACCTTTTGCAGTTCAAGTAGCATATGTAGAATGAAAATATGCCATTAAAGGTACAATAAAGCATGTTTTACGTTAATGAGTGTGTTTTCTCTTAAATAATTTGAAACGATACAAGCAATTGGCGAATAAGCTGATAAAACAAGAATATCAACATTCTTGTCTTAAGTCAATATATTGCAAAGGTTTTGCTCGATACAATAACATTGTAAACAAATTTATTAATTAACTCGAAAGTTGACTGAGGTTTTCATACAATTTGTTAAGCTATTATTATACCATCGTCGCCCTTTACCTAATATAAGTTATTTAATTTTCTCCATTCATAAGTCTCTTTTAGAAGAAGTAGAATAGAAATAATTGTTGTAAATGGGCATTTTTAATTTACCAAACAAACCAATTTGTATATTTGAATATTAATTGTAATTAATAGTAATTAATATCAGGAAATTTATGTTGATAATCATAAAATACAAATATAGCTTTTGAAAAATGGCATACAAGTTTGGATATCCCTTCTTGAGCACTTCTTTATAACTTTTTATTATTAACAAGTTTGAAGTGTGTTCTAGAAGGGTTATCCAATCTTTCTTTCACATAAACATAGTTATTTGGTCATTTTTTCTTTAGCATCTTTATTGATACCCCTCAGTCGTTCTTCTTCTGAGCTACGACGCAAAAGGTTGAACAAAGGCAGGGATAAATGTTTGTGCTTTTTTCCACTGTTGATGATGAGTTATTTTCAAACCGTCAACATGCATTTCCTCTATCTTTCTCTTTAAAATGATAAAAAAAATTCAATCGTAGAAAAAATCCCCTGTTAATTCTATGCTCCCGTAACTGAAGATTTTGTCTTGTCATTCGGTCCGTTTGTGGAGCTGTTTGTTTGTCTGTTAAAAAAACTTTGAACTTTTCCCGTACTAGAATGCTGATTGACCTTTTTTGGCACAGGTAGTTAGGTCATTTTTTCACACTTAATTTTTTACGAGTGTTTCTGTTGTCCGCTCGCTTATGGCGAGAAACACATGGCGGAAGTAACAAGTCGACAGGGTTTTCTTACTCCTTCGCAGTACCTGTCCCCACCTCGAGTGTTTTTACAAGCTCTAGAAGTTTGATCCGCTCCAATATAATTTGTTCAAATGAAGTATGAGCTTTATTACTGTTCCTCATTTTTATTCCTGTTTTTCATAGAAAATATTACTTAAATAAAATGTTTATCATATTCTTGAGTTTTTCAGATAAACTAAGTCCGACGTCACAATAGCCGTATCAGCCCTGCAGCACAGATATGAAAATGCGGGGTTGATATGGATCAAAATCACATTCCTATCAAATTAATGTAATAATTAACATATTTTTGGTTCGCATTCTCGTAATTTTTAATTACACTACACCATTAGCGTGTGATACAATTAGGTACGTGCATGTGCATAATTATTTATTTGCTTGTTTTTTCTCTCTTGCATTGTAGCATGGTGAATTTATTACTAAGTATAGTACACATGATAATACCCTATTGCACATAATACATCCTATATAAGCCCTCGAATACATGTAATATCAGCCCTCTGGCTTTCGGCCCTCTGGTTTCATTGGTGTCTCAGGCGGATATACCGTAAAGGATGTGATATGGAAAAGAGTATGCACTTAAATTCTCAATTAATTTCACAGAATTTTTTCTTTGATTTCATCTCTCTCTCTCTCTCTCTCTCTCTCTCTCTCTCTCTCTCTCTCTCTCTCTCTCTCTCTCTCTCTCTCTCAGGATTCAACTGCAAAAGACGTCTGAAAAAGTATATTATGTCAAAGATACAGTGTATATCTCTCTTATTATTTTTCAAATAAAGAGGTCAACAGTCTTAAAAGGATTTTTTTTTCTTTTTGGATAATGTACCCTGACAAGCAATTAAATTATTTAATATGAAACTCATTCTTTATAAAGCTGTAAATTTTCAACCAGCTTTTGGATATTTCTCCTTCGTAATCACATCTTGAGACGTTTTAAGATCGTTTTCAGGCAAAGCCTGTGGGAAAAAAATGAATTACACATACATTTCTTCTTAAAGAATATCAACAAAATAATATAAATGACGATTGTTATTTCTTAAACGAATTTATTTGACTGATTACTAAGTGATTAGGAATTTTGTTTCCAATTTCTTGTTTTTTCAAGGGACATAATTTGGTATTGAGGTCCTAAAACTCGGGGTTTAAAGTTTAGAAAATTATAACGCTTGCGCACACTTTTAAACATAAACTGCAACCTGAAAACTTTTTCATAGCATTGTCATCTTTATTTTACCAGAACAATTTTTTTAGTAAAATATTCAAATATGAAACAGATACGTCAGGCTTTGTTATGTCTTTTATTTTATATCGAATTGACATATGGATTGAACTATTATTGATTAACAATACATTGTCGATATATGTAAATGGCACATTAACGACAACAAATGTTTTCTTTTCTCTAATATAAAATTCTGGAATAAACTATGCTTCACATGAATGAAATACAATCCTTGTGAAATCCTTTGCGTATCCATATCACTCCATTATTAGCAGACTTTTTTGTATTCATTTAGAGCAGAATTCTTCAAAAATCATCTAACAAAAAGAAAAACCTCTTACTGTGGCCTTCCATTCAACATTTAGAAACATCAACGACGTCATACCGGGTATATATAAACAAGATGCATTTTCATATCTGTAGTGATTCGATATAAATAACTTTAAACTTTAGATAAAAGAAACCACATAGTCTTTACTTATACGCCTGCTTTATATTTAAATATTTTAATAGGAAAATAATTGTACAGTATGGCAACCTACCAACAAAAATATTTGATGAATTTGATGATTTCAACCTTTTATTTTCATTTTCTCTTATTCAGATATGAATGCCATTGTTCCCTGCTTTTCATACTTTCAGTATATATATATCTCTATATATATATATATATATATATATATATATATATATATACATATATATATATATATATATATATATATATATATATATATATATATATATATATATATATATATATATATATATATATATATATATATATATATTTTATATATATATATCTCTCTATATCTATATGTCTCTCTCTCTCTCTCTCTCTCTCTCTCTCTCTATATATATATATATATATATATATATATATATATATATATATATATATATATATGTATATCTATATATATATATATATATATATATATATATATATATATATATTTTTATATATATATATATATATATATATATATATTATATATATATATATATATATATATATATATATATATATATATATATATAGCTTATATATATATATATATATATATATATATATATATATATATATATATATATATATATATATATATATATATATAATTATATATATATATATAGTTTATAGATCGATGCACATATGCCTTACCTACAAACAATTTCTTTAATAAGAAGCAAGTTCATGAAAAAATAAGCTAATGAAACAAGGATATCAATTTTCTTGTTTAAAGTCAACATTATTGAAAATCCCATGGTCGATATAATTTACCTTGTCAGCAATTACAATCTATCGTAAAGACTAAAGACGACATCAAACATTACTACTATCGAAGACCAATTGTCTTAAAACTAATACTGCTATTTTGTAGTGCAAATACCAAAGATGTAAATCAGTTAGGAAATTATACTAGTATATACCACCGGTATATCATGCTAATAAATTACAATTTGAATGTTTAAAACATTAAGCTTTATAATAGAATGTACGTATCACAAGTTTGAAATGAAATATATGGAGATAACGAAAGTTTAAAGCTCAGAAGTACATTAAACAATACAAAATAGGAGCGGAACAAACACGGACCTCCGAAACAGAGGTGGGATCAGGTGCCATGGAAGAGTGTCCCCTGCCAATCGGTCACATTCGCCGGGTACTCCTTGTCATGATCGGTAAATAACGAAAAACATCCGTCGTCAATTAACAGGTATGCACTAGTAATTTTTTTTTTTTATTTTATTTTTTTTTTTCATTTCATTTCATTTGAAAAAGAAGTTTCATGTACCAAAGATTTTAAATTGTATATTAACATGAAGAATATTTTAATCCTTTCAAACACTAGTAATTGATAAAAAATATATTGTACTATAATGCATATGAGATGTACGTTTCATGGAATAAAGAACTGAACTGACTGTTGACTGAAGTTTTTGTTTATGTTGTTCTCGACACGATAACCCTTACAGAACTACAACTTGTCTTGAGGTAGACTAAAGTTTTCCATACAAATTGTTTGGCCATCAATTTCACAATGAATTTTCTAGAAATTAGATAATTGCAGCTTAATATTAATAAGAATAAATTTGAAAACAAAGGCATGTCCATCCCGGGGTTTTTTTTTTGGGGGGGGGGGGGGAGTTAAGGGGGGGGGGGGGTGGGATGGGGGGTTCGGGGGGTATTTAAGCAATATATAATAAATCTATTTGTGTCTGTGTGTCGGTTAATATTTATATTACAATTTAAAGTTACGTATCCCCTACTGAGTTTTTTAATTTTGTAATTAAGTGTTCTACTTTGATAACAGTGAAATATTCTATCGGAAATACGATACTTGGATTATAACACCATTTTCTCCCAGAAACCATTGAATTCTTCCATGCAAATAAAAAAGATTGGCGTCATGTTCACAAGTAGCAAACTACGATTTTTCGCAACCTTTATGTTACATTTTACAAACAAATATATGTGAATGCCCCTTACAGTTCGATTGGCATACAATTTCCCTCAAATTAAGTGAAGGCGTATAAAGAAGAAATAATCATGAGCTCCACAACAGTGACACAATCCTTCTTTATTTTATTATATATAACTACTAATAAAAAGCGTGATATATTAATATCCATTGGCACAAGGCAACTGCAACGATCCAAGCATTTACTTCGGCCTAAGTAATGCGGTTAATATTTAATATCCTAACTATTTGTGCAATTTTTGTGCAGCATGCCTTGTCAAACTATGGAGAAAACAACAGTAAGTATAATTAATTTATTAAGGCATGTCACTCGTGAAATTTTTGATGTCAAGGATTTTTTGAGAAGAATATTTTGGATAAGTACTCATATATTATGACTCAAAATCGTAGAGAAATTTGGGGGGAGGGGGTTAGTGTGCACCTTACTTAGCTGCGGTACAAATAAGTTGACCTTTTGCACTTATATTTAACTCTTTTATTAATTACTTTAACCTTTATCATATTTTATCATATGTTACAATGGTTATAACCTTTTTTAAGAAAAGTAGTTTGACTAATATTTATCATTGAACAAATATCGCAAATCAATGCGCGGTAATTATTGTGTGACCTTTTTGCACTAAAAAAGTAACAGATTTGGGACATTAAAAATTCTAAATATGCAATAAAATATTTTCTTGTATCAAAATTTTTCTGATCAATCACAAGTACCGAGTAGTTTAAAATAATGACAGAAGAAGTTGGGGTCAGTGATGTAAATTTTGAAATATTGGTCAAAATATACGATTTCCAGGCAAAAAAACGGTGTAAATTTTATCTCGATTTCTTTAATATATCTTGATTTGTCTGCAATGTTTGTTTAGGGAAGCTGAAAAATATGTTCTTAAAATATAAATTGAGACCCATATTTAATATTCCTAGCGTACCATAACGGAAAATATTCTCCGAGTAAAAGTATGTGAGGCTAAAGTTCCAAGATATTAAATTGAATAAATGTGCAGATTCGCAGAATTCTCTGCTAAGTACACGTTCTCCTCATAAATTTTGCTTTTTTGAGAATTTTGAACAGTATTTTTATTGAATGTTGAACAATTTAAGGCCCTTTCACAATTGGCGCACGAGCAGAAGCGACAAAATATTCGTGCGACCGAATAATTTTGTCTAGGATCGTAAACTGTTGCCAAAATAATCGCATATGAAAAAAGTGTTAATTAATTTAAATGCGTCACGATTTTTTAAAGCGACTGTTGTGCATTAAATCTTGCGATATATCTTGCGTCTATATACGACTGTTGTAGAATGAAAGCGAGTGTTGTAAGATAATGCGATAGGATTGCACGACTGATCATAATCGGACGATTGAACGTGCGACAATACGATTAGACGTGCGGTGCTCGTAATATGCATCCATAGTACGAATGTTCGTGCAAGTCAGAGGGCGGTATATATACCATTGTTTCCGACGCTCTTCAGTTGACATAGTTAAGATGCTTATAATTATACATGGTATATATACCTGTTGCAAAGAATGGCAATTGAACGTGATAAATCAAGCAATGATAGTAAAACGTTGCAAGATTACATGAGACTTGTTGAGCAACAGTCTCATGGTCGCAAAACACACGCAAAGACAGCTGCGATTCATCTTACGATCTTTAAAAATCGTACATCACTCTTACGAGTACATAAAACGTTGTAAGACGTTCGCACTAACTTTCTTGCGTTGAATTGCGACAATTTGGATCGCATTTGGTCGCGTCTGAATAGTGTGCATGTTGACTATTTTGAAGAGAATTGATGCGACCACTAAAACACATGCAATGAATGCGAGACATGGTGCAACGTATGCGAGAGCTCGTGCGAAGCTGAAATTTTCCGATCGCAAAGTGTTGTAAAGTGCTCGTGCGCCAATTGTGAAAGGGCCTTTACATTGTTCCATTTAAACATATCATAAAAACTGAATTATAAATGTTTTTAGTTATAGGATCTGCCGGAATTTTTCTCAAAAGCTGACAAGTGACATACCTTAAGTATAGTTGATATTTTTTTACGATCAACACTGCTTGCCATAAAGATACTTTAAAAAGAAAGAATGAAGGTTTCCTATAATGTCTCTTTCTATTTTGTTCAAATTAATTTTATGTAATTATTTTAGTTACGCGAATTTTTTAAAATCTAGTCTTGGCATTTACAATCTAAAAATAAACCAAGGCAAAGATTTTTTTTATTAGATTAATAAACCTATAGATGAACATAATATTTAATCTTTAAAAAAAGAATATTAATACGAAGAATGGGCTAAATGGTAACTTATCTGTTACACACTTTTACATTCATGAAATTTATTACTTCATTAATCGGGATTTACTTCCTACATAATTTATGTCTCCAATAGTTTTAATTTAATTTATAAGTTTCCGATTTTTCTTACAGGGATAATTCTTTTTAAACCAAAAATATTAAAGGCAATGATCAAGGAATGCTTTTTAAGAGGAGAAGGATACGAAAGAATTGCAATGGTACTGCTGAAAATTTATAAACGCATGAATGAACCAAAATCAGAGGATAACGAATCAAATTGGATGAAAACCATGAGATTTCGACGTTGATAATTTTTCTTCCCGTGAGAAATTTTGCACAGAATGTTTTTTGTTACATTTAATGTAAGTGACAAGTTCTATGTACAAAAGTGTTTAATGCTACAAAAATTAAATTAAATGTTTAATGTCTTTTGATTTCTGTGTGATTTCTTCGAATAATTTTCTAGTCGATCCGAAAATAGTTCGACTTTCATTTAAACAATAAAATGAAACTTTGCTATGACTATACAAAATGGAAATCAATACTCTCTCTCTCTCTCTCTCTCTCTCTCTCTCTCTCTCTCTATCTCTCTCTCTCTCTCTCTCTCTCTCTCTCTGATATATATTGGAGATAACGTACAGTATTTTATTTCAAAAGTTATTAAACATTACAAAATTGGAGCGGAATAAATAAGGACCTGCAAATAGTTGAGATAAGATACCATGGAAGAGCGAGCAACCCCGGCCTACTTGTCACACCCGCCATGTGCTCCTTGTCATGATCGGGAAATAACGTGAAAATCCGTCGAAAATACAGTGTGTATATAATGGCTTGTGACAATTAGTATGAAAAATGTCAGTCAGCATTTGACTTAATGATAAATTGTATTTGCTGACAAAGTCATATTTTATCGATCACAGGACTTAAGAAATGATGACTTTAAAAGAGGCTGCTGATATACGTGTTTCATAAACTTGTTTGTCAATAACTTACCTCGTTTTATAATTGTTCATATGTAGAGTATGCTCTTGTGTATCGAGTCAACTCAGATATAAACCCAGTATGTAGGCGATGAAGGTATATTGCTGCATAGGTAAGGGAAATTGACGATTGAAAAGTTTAAGTTATCTCTTTGTCATAATGCTTGGTTGTTAGATTACCATTAACGTTATTTTCAGGTAAAATATATCTAAATATGAAACAGATGTGTCCGACATGAATGGAAAGAATGGAAATTATCATTGTAAATTGAGCTGTCCCTATATCTTAATATCGAGTTGAGGGCCACAGCAAGTGTTTTCTTTTCACATTTAAGATTTTTGACAAATTGTGCTTCCAGTAAATACAAAAATAGTTTTCATGTTTTTTTAGTATAAAAAGCTTTGACTTTAATTCATTGTGGGGATGGTTATACAATGTAAATGAAATTAAAAAATCATAAGTTTTAATGCTGTTGAATTCGGTATAATTTTGTGATTTTAAATTTTTCAAAAGTTCCTTGGAGTTTTTAAGTATCCACATCTAATTTCCACCGCTTCTCGAATATATTGTTAAACTTACAGTAATTCTGAAAGTTCTCCTTCACTACTGTTAATATCCTAGTGAGGAGTAAAGAAAGAGGCTTCACCTGCAATGAATTAACGCTGGTCCTGCCACTTCAGATGTTCTATCTCCTGGCACTTCCCCAACATGCACCTGTTGTTTACCACCTCTCTCTCTCTCCCGAACCCAAGCAACTGTCTTTTTCAGGTCTTACGCTTTATGGTTTTAAAATAGACACAAAACCGTCTAGTTCTGCAACTGTATGTCTTACTCAGGTTTTATGACAATACGTAGAAGAATATAACGACCAAGGTTTATCAATTCCGTCAATCAGAGGGGTTTCAAAGACACTCTATTACGGCTTGTATTATCCTAATGTAGTCTGTGTACTTTTACAGTTTCAAACTACTTAAATGATCGTACTATTATGATTTTTAGTTTTTAAAAAATGAAAATGGATATGATTAACTACGATTTTACGTATTTACAATATATTTATAAATGTACAAAACTAATGAATGCTTGTCAACCTCTCTAGTTTAACACGTAGTCTTCCATTCACTATGGTTTTCTCTTGCGTCTTACAGGGGTGTTATCTCCATCGGAATGATAATTAAATTCTTCTACATCTGTCTCATCACCTAGAGGTTCGGGTTCTTCCTCTTGTGCCGTCCCCTTATCATCAGGCGTCTCACCTTGCTAAATTTTAGGATACCTTCGATGCATCCTGCCAACACTGCATGACTTGCGGCTTTCCCGCAGTCAACTTTATAGGTCAGATCTGTCATCTTTGAAAGCACGTTGTAAGGACTACGCCATTAATTGATAAATTTTGGCGAATAGCCTGCTTTTCGAATAGTAAAAAAACACATAGACTTTGCAGCCTGGATAAAAGTTCTGAAATAACACCTTTTGGTCGTGATATTTCTTCTGCCTTCCCATTGCCGTTGTTATGTTCTCTCTGATATGTTTTTTGCGCTTTCCATAGTTTCTTTTAATTCTCAGGCGCACTTATCTTTGGGCCTGAGAAGTGCTGTACTGATCTGGAGATTTCAAACATGATGTCAAGCGGTGTTGACAATTCTCTTCCCAGCAGCAGGTAATTGGGAGTGGGAGTGAGCGGAAGCCTTGTAAGCCATCATTACAAATGGTAAGTGTTCACCCCATCAGAATGATGGTCGTTCACGTAAACGCTTAACATTGTAACGCATGTCTTGTAAAAACGCTCTGCCATTTCATCACTTTGAGGATGGTACGGACTGGTACGAGCTTTTTTATCTAAAGAACCTGGCACATCTTTCAAAAGAGTGCACTCTCATTTTGTCATCCCCGGTCAGACTGAATAACTGATGACACACCATATCTGGCAATCACTTCTTCAACAATAAGATTTGCCACTGTCTAAACTTCCATGTTCGGCATTGGGAAAGACTCGGTCTATTTCGGTAAATAGTGTCCGAGACAACAAAAAAAAAATATTATTTGCCATTCTCAGTCATTGGTTGTACTACCAGAATGTCGGTGGTGATCCTGTCCATGGGTAAACCACTTTCAACAAACCCCATAGGTGATCTTTGCTTCATTTGGGGACCCTTTCTCTTACAATATTTCTCACAACCTGCTTTGTACATTCTTGTATCTGCTTGCAAACCAGGTCATTAGAACTTTTGCCTTATTCGAGCCAATGTCGTACTCACGCCAAGAAGTGTAACTCTTCTCACATCATGACAGAACTCGAAATTTGACCGTCGTTGGATAATTGGTGCAATAGCCTGCAAGCATATGATCTTCCCTTCTACCTCTACAAATCTTCTATATAGATTATTCTTTTCAATACAGAGATTAATCCTCTTTGACCATAACGAACGTAACACATAGCCTTGGCCACCGACAACACTGTACTCAGGTCTCGTATCTTCTTGACTGAATGTTTGGCAATGGATAAATCATTGTCTTGCATTTTTACATTGACAGAACTGAATTGTTATCATCTTCCTTTAGTCCACCGGCTTAGGCTATGACTCTTACTTCGTCTTGCTTGTTATTCTCAAAATGTTTCTTCCAGTTTGAATCAAAGCAACACTGGCGACATGGCAAACGGCTCAATGCATCCACATTGCTGTGTTGTGTACCTGGTAGGTGTTGTATCTTGAAGCTCTGTATACTGAAGATTTCTAGCCAACGTGCATACTGTCCTTTTGGATTCATGAAAAGCCACTTAAAGGAGATATGGCGTGTATGAACATAAACATTTTACCATAAAGGTAATGCTTAAAGTGCTGGGCAAAGTGGACAACTGCGAGCAATTCCATTCGTGTTACACAGTACATGCGCTCACATTTTTTTCAGAATCCGACTTACATCAGCCACAACCCTTTTTTCAACATCAAGCTTTTGTGATAGTATGCGCTTAGACACATTGCTCAGTATCTAAAATGAAGAGATGGGGGAAGTCTGGATGCCTAAATATTGGAGTATTGGTCAACTAATATCTAAACGTTCAAATGCCTCTTGGCATTTATTAGACCAGACAAAGGCGTGACCTTTCTCTGTCAACGTGTATAGGCATTTTGCACTGCATTAGAATTTGTTGTTGAACCTCATGTAATAGCTGCATTGTCCTAGAAATGAGCGTAACTAAGTGGCATTTGTAGGCACTGGTCACTGTTTTACTGCAGCTATTTTGCCTGGGTCACTCGCTGTACCTTCCGCTGACACTACATGCATACAGCATTTCTTGGCTTTGAGTTTAAGGTGTGCATTTTGCAGTGTGTCTAATGCCTTTCTATGATTTCCCAACATTTCCTCAAATGTAAGGCCCGCCACGATCACGTCATCCAGGTAAACTTGACATATCTATCCCAGTAAAGGCCTGCCAGGACACTTTCCATTCTCCATGACTCGTCTATTCTGGGAAGAGGATATGGAAACAGTTAGGGTCTTGGCTGCGACGAAACGCATGTTGCCCCCAAACCCAGTCAAAACATATATAACAAGGAGACAATGTATCTAAAAGAAATATGGCAGAATATGGCTGTAGTTGACTTGAAACAAGTAGATGAAAATGTTGCATTTTTTAAGAATTCCTGTCTCTGCTTTATTCGAAAGTTTATACAAGGCTTTAATCTGCAGCTCTCTGATTCATCTGTTCGAATTGTCTCAAACAGAGAGCTTCCTAATAATACAAGAAGCACAGAAATAACTGACTCTTCTGCAGCTTCTGCAGCTTAATTCAGCGTTAAAGGTAAAACTGAAAACTAGTCAAATGTTATATGCAAAATTATTGAAATTCAAATTTTATAGCATATTTAAATGATACAATGTAAATTGTTCAACATTTAATGAAAAAAAAACTGCTCAGAAATTCATTTAAGAGGGACTACTTCTTGTGGCGGAAGGATATTTATCAGAAAATTCTGCAAATTTTCAGATAGATAAATTTGATATCTTGGAACTTTAGCCTCATATATATTGAAAGGAAAAAGAAACCCATGAGAACATAATATGCGGAAAAACCCAGATTTGTCAGCAAATACAGTTTATCATTGAGTCAAATGCTACTGACGTTCTTCTACCCAATTGTTAGTCCAATATTTATACACTGAATGATTTTTTCCGTTATTTCCTGATAATGTGACCGGTCGGCAGGGGATGCTCACTCCTCCATGGCAATTCTGATGTCCGTGTTTGCTCTGCTATAATTTTGTATTGTTTTATGGACTTTGAGATTGAATTCGTTATCTCCATATCCTTATGTGTGTTTTTGTTACTTTGCACTAACATTGCTGGTCAAAACTACTCAACAATGAAATGTATGGCGTCACTTAGGAAAAGTGTTAAAAAGCCAAAAACACATGTACATTGTTGACAATTTTGTGATCACATTTTGTAG